CTGAGGTTCGCGAACATAACAAACGGCTGACTTATGAATGACTTGCGGGATCTATATGGGTAAGACGTCAATTGTGTGGTCCTATCCAGCCATATGTCAAGTTGACAGCATTACCACCCCATTCCAAACACTTAAATCAAATCCAAGCGGATAACCAAAATTTCCGTATTACGTACCGCGGTTATAATATGGTTCAAGATGACACACGGGATGGTGACGTCAGTTACTCGAATCGCTTGAACGCGTTGGTTTTAACCGCGGTTTGTTGCAAGTTGTTTATTTTAGAAAAACCCGTATATAATTTCTGATTATTTTTATTATCACTTAATAATCGGTGCTTTTTCGTCTACAACGGGGTATGGAAAGTTGAAAAAAGGAAACTTTCATAATATTAATGGGAGGAATGTTTTTTGTAGCTATGATAACTTTCAATTCTCTAAACTTTTCCGCATGTCAAAGAAAATATTTATTGATTTAGCAGAAATGATGAAAAAGCGATGAAAAAAAGATATTACAAAACCGTATACAGGTGGACATCATCCAGTGAGTTTATACGGCCATATTTTAATATTCTTGTGGTATATGGCTATACAGGATACTTTTTTAAGTGTAGGAACTAGATTTAAAGTGTCCCCAACAACAGTGATGATTATAAATAATAAGGTGCTCTCTTATGCTAAAACTGAAGTCAGCCTGTATCAAGTTTCCCAAAAATGAAGCTGAAGTACAATAAAAATATCCAATACCCGGCAAAATTCTAACTTGTCACATGTCAAATAATAACCAGAAATATAAAACTACTCCGGAGTTGGGTAAATACCACAATTTTGCGGTGATAACTATGACATATAACAGCTGATTCGTGACGTCACGGATCTTATAACCAAAACTGATAACCACACTCGCTTGAACGGATCGGTAAATACCAATCCAAAATGGTAATACCATTTCAATTTGGTTATCCGCTTGAATTTGATTTTAGCTAGAAAGAAGCAGTTTCATAAGTGAATATGTTTGGTGGTGTCCATGCCATCTTAGATGGGTGGGGCAAACTTAGGTTATATCCTTTTTACACGACCCAGTTACCCGTTAACCACGCCCCTTTTCCAAATCTACCACAGATGGATATAAGCAACTGAAGTTCCGAAACAGTTCGAAATAAGTATCCTGGTCTACCATATTCGTCCCTCGATTTTAGTATCCCATAATTTTAAAATTTGTAACACCTAAGCAGTTCTATTTACTCTAATCCTGACTGTTGTTTTCCAGTCGCAGCATAGTTGAACAGTTATCGGCCTGAAGTTGTCACTCTATGGAAACAGTTGCCTGTTTCATGTGACGTTTGACACCCACACATTTTTGTGCCACACATGAATTAAAAATATAAGGCACCCCGTAACATGTGTTGCCTAACGTATACGCCTGTCGCATGTGCAAATGGAACTAATAATTGTAAAATATTCTAAATTTCGGTGAACAGGTATATAATTAATGTAGAAATATAGATAACATTTCCAAGGTTCCCCAATAATATAAAAATAAACCATCCTGAAATTTACCGAATTCTTTGACATTTGTATTGGCTGATTTTCAAACATGGACTTGGACTCTGATGAGGAAAATGTAGTAGAAGAGGATTTTTATGCATTCTTAAACGTTCCTAAAGAGGTATGTATACATATACTGTGATAACTAAGCGCTTAAAACACTGTTTCTGTATTTACAAAGATGCAAGAAATCCTAACCTAAGATTTGACTATTTTCAGGCATCTAAAGAAGAAATTAACAATGCATACAGGCGCCTCAGTAGAATGTACCATCCAGACAAACACGTTGATCCTGCGCTCAAAGAAAAGGCTGAAATCATGTTCAACAAAACAAAAGGGCTTACGAAGGTAACATAGTAAATAACGTAACTTTCAATGTTTATAAACCTGATAAATGCTTGTAGTTCTTTCTGATCCGCACAGGAGAGCCATATATGACTCATTAGGAACAAAAGGCTTAGAAACAGAAGGATGGGAAATAGTGCAAAGGACCAAAACACCTGCAGAAATTAGGGCAGAATATGAACAGCTAGCCGAAGAAAGGGCAGAGAGAAAGAAAAAGCAAGCTACAAACCCTAGTGGAAATATCACTATTGCCATCAATGCTACTGACTTGTTCAATCCCTATGATGATGTATACTATGATGATGAATTTGAAGAGTAAGCACCAAGTTTTTAATTTTCAAATCGTCAAGGAGTAAAAATAATGACATCATTTATTGCCCAACAGATTAAATAAATGTACATACCAAAATGTTAATTCTCAGTATGTTGTGAGATTTTATTATAGTTTGTAAGCATTATTCATAAGGGTGACTTGAAAAGTAGTATGGTGTCTGGAATTGAAATGTGACACATTCAATCTAATTAAAGATAGAAGGTCTAACAAGATTTCACTGTACAAAAGTGTGTATAAAAATATTACCAAAGTCTATGCATCTGAACTCCAAACTGTCCATGTTATAAAGATTTACTAGAAGTTGATATTGCATATGTTGTTCTGGGTAAATACGAGGGTGAATCAAATATGCACTGGACTTTTCTGCTTAACGGGCCATAGGTGAATCGAGTGAGACGACATCTTGGTATATGTTAGGGTAGCAGATGAGCTGTTATTAGCATCATGTGTGAGCAAGAGTTGCACACATCTGTTGCGCAACGCATTATCATAAAATTTTTGACGTGGGAGGGCGTAAACCCTTCCGAAATTATGCATCGATTAATAGCACAGTTCAGCTATAAGATAGTTTCAAGGACACAGGTATACGATTGGCAATTTTTTTTTCCATGGAGTGGCGAAAGCCTGAAGACGCAGCACCACAAAAAGCCAAGACCAGTCTTACTGCACGAAAATTTCTTGCAACTGTATTTTGCAATTCCAGAGGTGTACTGCTAGTTGATTTTCTTCACAATCGCCATACAGTTAATGTTGCTGTTAATGCTTACTAGTGTCAATTGCTTAAAGAAGTGAAATTGGCCTATCGGCGAAAAAGGCGAGACATGCCTATTTGAAGTGCCATTCTGCCCCATGACAATGATCAGCCACACACAGCTGCATTCACCCAATAAAAATTATGCGAAATTCATTGGGAGATACTTAAACACCCATCTTACAGTCCCGATTTGTCACCATGTGACTGTCACATGTTTGGTCCACTTAAAGAAGACCTGGGAGGTCACCTCTTTGACGACGACGAAAGTGTGGAAATGTTCATACACAATTGGCTACTGACATGACCAGCTACATTCTTTGATGGGAAAATTAAAAAACATGATCGCATAGGAAAAATGCATCAATAAGAGAGGAGATTATGTAGAAAAATAAAATGTAAATAAACTTATATTTACTATACCAATAAAATTACTAAAACAAAAGTTGGTTCATATTTGATTCACCCTTGTATGATGTTTTTTAAATGCCAGATGTTTCAAAAACTTTCTTTGAACTCACTTTGGTCTTTCTTTATGATACAGATAATATTAATTCTAAATGTTGAAAAAGTACTTCAGTTTTGTACACATATAACTTTGAAATAAGGTGTTTAAAGTTGTTTCATTGTTGAATGTTTGACAGCTTCTTACAATAAAGCCATACACTTTGTAAGATTCTGCAATTTTAGTATCAATATGAAGTTGATCGGCAAATAAAACTACGTGCCTAAACCTTTTATGGATGAGCAACATTACAAAGGTGTGTTATCCATTCTGTAGTTGAACACTAAAGGTGCTTTTTTCCTAGAAAAAGTAACAGTTTTATATTTTGCTATGTTTAGTGCCAACTTATTGTTAACATAATATTCATGAATACTGTTGAGTGTTCTTTGAAGATAAATACATCATCTGTGGTGATTACTTTGGAAATGGAAAATATTTTCATACTATCCGCAAAAAATTCTTGATTAGTTCAGAGGAGAAAGATAGCTGTGACCAATTTTCATAGATGACTCTATGGTATTTCATTTCAGATAATTTTTCAGACACGCAAATATAGTATTAGGTTGGCTATCTTTGGGTAGAATACATTCATCAATAATTAAATACTTCATCAGCATAATGAAAAAGAATATTTAGTCAAATATGGTAACTTATCTTTCGCAAGTATCAAACCTAATTTTGTGGAACTATATGGAACAGCAGTTATTGTTTTGTCCTGAATGGAAGTAAAAGGTAATATCATGTTTTTCTTAAATTATTTATTCCAGTGATATAATATCAAGTATACCAAATATAGAGGTGTCTTCAATGCAATTCTCACAATCTGTGGATTTTCCATTAACCCAAAAAGATACGTGTACCCTCTCAGGTCAGTTGCAGACTCAAAATGGTACAGGAGCTGGTGGTATAAATTTAAGTTGGAGACACATATTTTCCCATAAAAGCTGGGCAGAAGTAGAAATGTGTGCAGGTAATAAATATGCTCAAAATTAACCAATACAGTTGAATAGAATGTATTAACGAGCGAAGGAAGGATACTAGAATTTTATAAATATCAATCTCTGAAGGGTTTTTTTGGTGATTGTAATGACTACATGGACACATTTTAGTACCTTTATTGTCTCTTGTTACTAAAGCATTTTCTTATTTAATATACTGTATCAGTATAAACTTTTATCAGCTTTTACATAGTCACTGAAGGACTTGACATTTTAACGATTATTGCATTAGTAACTAGATATGTTTTTAAGGTAGTGGTCCAGGCATATCTTTCAAAGGATTCAGGACTCTTTCTAAAAGATTTTTCTGGAATGGTGGTACAATACTGCAGTTTACCCCTGAAGGAATAAGACCAGGAGTAATGTCAAGTGTGTATTTCAAATAAAGTTGGTGAAATCATTTGTTTAAATATTGTTTTTTAGCCTTAGCAATGCAAATAGATAAATATTCTGTAGGATACCTATCTTATCAAGGAGGAATAAGGCAGATATTTTCCACTCAAGTCATTAGAGAAACAGGTAAGTCATTTGAAAACAATATTTTCAGAAAAGATGCAGCAATATCATTATACTCCCTGAATTTCTGTTCAAACTTTAATATGAGAGATAATGTGCCACTTCATTCAGATACAATTCTAAATATTTTTACATGGTTTAGGGCTAAAAGTTGTACTTTTCTACTAATTGCAAGTGACAGTGCCCTACAAGCAGACTTTCAGTGTGTCAAGCTGATGAAAAAAAAAAACTAGTAGCAACTTTCTTTCAGAGGAGATATCTGGAAGTTATGACTGCTTGGGATGCAACAATCTGGTACAGTTTAATGCCTCCAAACACAGCATTGTGTAAGCCTGGCTTACAAGAAACGCCCTAGCTCTCATCCATTTTTGATGGATAGTGGAGTTCTGCCAGAGAGCTATTCCTTTCAGATGGCCAAAGTCCAGATCAATGAGGACTTGATTTGGTATGAACACATTCTCGTCAATCCCACCAGCTTCTGGGTAAAATTTATTTGTTCAGGGCTAAGATATACTTTTCTCCATATAAGACCTAGTCTCTAGTACTGCTCACATGTTTGAGGTGCTGCGGCCTGGGTACATTGTGGTATGTGTAAAGGCACAAATACAAAGTAGAAATGTTTGTTATAAAAATACAGTGAAATACTTAAATAATTATCTTATCTTACCTCAAATACTTATCTAAAATACCATAACACTAATTCAAAAAATCAAGAAATGAAGTATTGGATGTTGAACAATCCAGGAACATCTAGTTAAATTGTTCCAAATCGGATTCCCAAGGTGTCTTTAAGCTTCTCATAGCAGCTGTGATGCCCTGGTGTTTAGTTTTCTGCCTCATGGCTGATCAGTAAAAAAGAAGCCAAATACTAGGTTCAGCAAAACCTTCCAAATAAGAGTTGCACTAATTTTGTAAACTGGTGCACATTTGAAGGAAAATGCGCAAATAGTTAATTTTACTTTACTAATTGACTAGATAATGAGAATTTTTTTCTTTCAGAAAAGAATAGATATAATTTTTCAATACAAGTTGGCCTGCCTCATTCATATGTTCTGATGCAGTATACAAGAAAATTAATCTCACAAGAGTTAAAACTAAGAATTGCTCTGAAGTAAGTCTGCTTATTAGGCTTTGAATAATTAAGTTCCTAACAGTGTTTTTTTATAGAGCTGGTACTTTTGGAGGTGTAATAGAGTATGGAGCAGAAAAGAAAATTTCAAAATTTAGTAATTTAGCGTTTTCAGTAGTGTGTGGAGTACCTGCAGGAGTAAAATTGAAAATCAGGTAAGCTTTCAACATAATCTCAACCATTCGATCAATTTTCTGTTTTGTCCTTGGCTGACTAGTAACCTTTCTTCAAATTTTTATCAAAATCTGAGTGGTGCTTCTGTAGTTATGAAAGGGCCAAGGATTACTGGCAGACCAATGGATATGAGTGACATGGTTTTAATCCGACTGCCTCATAAGGAGGATTAAAAATAAGTAGGGGAGACTGGGGATGTTTGTGACATAATTATTTCAAAGTGTCATATTTGTATGTCTTTGATTAGTTTACCTGACTGTAGGTTTGTTTGATGAAGTAACTATTCAGAATATAGATCTAAAATAAATTTTATGAAAAGAGTAATAAAAATGACATTATTGGAACAAATCTAAGAAAAGAGATGTGTAACTTTTAACCCCACCCACGGATTTAGAAGTTACACTACACGGGGTAAAATGTTACAATAAAAATCAAACTTAATAAACTCCTTTTTATTAGGAATAAGTAACTTATTCACTTTCTTTTCTTGATGTAAATGACATTTAATTATGTCTCAAGTCAGTCTTTGGCCTCATCAAAACAAAATAATAGTATATTACTACCTTGAAACGAAATCACAACTAGTCTAACAAAGTCGTATCATATTTTTAGACTTACAGCTCATAAAACCAATAATTTCCGACCTGCATTAATAAGATTATAAACCTTTTATTAAATAATCACTTGGTATGCGTTAACAATACGTATATAAAGCCTCATTATCAAAAATAAACTATGCTCTTTGAAAAAAAATCAGATAAGAAAAACAAAGCTGTAGTCTGAACAATCACTTTCACAATTCAAACAAACTTATTGGGCAATATTTCCTTTTACGCATTTCACATGTGACCAATTCTTACAAAGTACACACTGTACCCACTCTACTGCAGCTTTCTTCGGATCAAAAGGGTCACAACATATCAGACAAAATATCCATCATCTCCACTTTCTTCGTCAGTGTTATATAATAACTTCCTCTTTACAGAAATCTTCCCTGTTTGTTTGTTTTACTTTTCTTAAGGTATTTTCTTGTTCATTATTCTTTCTTGTGCTTGACTTTGCCTTTCCTCCCTGCCTTAATTTTCCTTTCTTCAATTTATTTTCCTTGTTCTTGCTCAGCTCCAGTTACAAAGTTTTTTCCGGTGTGTCAGTTAATAAAGCTGATTTGCGAGTTTTTCGTGTTATTTTGGTTGTTCTCGCTGCAGCTTTTGGATAAGGCCGAATAATCTCAGGAGAAAAAGTATTTCATTGTGCGTCATGTTGACGACATCATAAAATTGAAGTTAGAAATAGAATAACATGTAGGACACAGTTATAAAGTGAGTGTTGGGCATAGGAAGTTACCAATGATTAAAGTTGTAGGCTTCAGTGAGGAATTCGTTAAAGATAAGCTGAGTAGAGACTTGAAAGAAAGAAACAATATTATAAGCAGTGATTCGATGATAAATGTAGTGGCAATTAGAAATATGAAATTCAGATATCAGGCAATTCTGAAATTAGATGAGCAAACATTTAAAATAATTATGAAAGAAGGGTTACTGTTGGTATCAATGGATGTGTGTACAGTGTTCGAGCAATATGATCTCCTGAGGTGCATTAACTGCTCAGGATTCCACCATACAGCTAAAAACTGTGTTTGCAGAGAGTGTTTGCATAAAAAAAATTAACAGTACTCAGAACATCTCAGTACTCTTCAACACAGAAAACGTAACTGACTCGGCTGCTATTAGTCTACTAATAAACGCAATATGCTCTCTAAACATAGAGCTCACATATAATAAACAGGAATAGACAGGTCTTAACATTATATATGTGCGTCATCGCATAAACGCCGAGAAATGCAGCAATATGAGATGTTACGTATTGTAATTCATAAAAGTAGATGTTACCGAATATCTATGGTGATAGAAAAAATCTGTTTTTAGATTTGATTTAAAGGTCACAAAATACATGGAGATACACCCAAAAATTGACATGTCACAAATTCTGTGTTTATCAGTGTAATTCAATAACGGCAACGCTGCCGGGTTAGGTATCGGGGAAAGGCGATGTTACCGGATGAACTACCGGTAGGAGAGGGAAAGATTTCTGACTAATTGTATGGACCTGTTTATCCAACATTATCCATTTAACTTATCTGTTATTCACGTAACTAACATCTTTCTCAGTTTGTCTAACTTGTGCAGAACATCCTTTATGACGGCGTTCCATGGGAAGTGTAGAGCCAACCTACTTGACGCCGTTTTTTTTTTAGGTTGACTAGAGCATCACAGACATATTCATTTCCCATTCATTTGTGTGAGGAAGTGATGCCAGCACCGGTGTTCTATGCTACTATAGTGCCTTTAGTACTGTACATTGTCGTCAAAAAAGGATTTGTGGAACCTTTCATCAAAGAGGAGAAATCCAAAAAATTAGAAAAACAAAAACAGGATAACTTTAACAAGCTATTGGAGAAACGAAGGGAGGCAATGGCAGCCCAGGAATTAATGCAGGCAACATATAATAGAATCAGGGATGAGGAGAGTAACAAGAAAGGATTGGTTATTATCAACGCCATATATGGAAAAATTATAAAAGGTACTTCACAAATGACAGGCTAGTACTAATTCCGGATCAGCTCAAGTATATATTTTTTTGAATTCAATATAAAACATAAACAACTTGTTACATTACAAAATATTTAAATCTTAACACATTCTCATTTCTAGATGCTAGTCAGCAAGGTGACATGGAGATCTCGAATGATGTAGTGGATGTTACCATTCCAGTGCAGTGTCTTGTAAAAGACAGCAAACTTGTTATACATGAGAGAACAAAGGTAAAATGTTTTTGTAGCCTCATTTATCTTCCACGAGTCATGTTGATCGACTTTTCAGAGTGAACTACCTGGATTTTTTGATCCAGCTTTAGGAGAAGAGAAAATGTTACATATTATTTACACATACCATGATGAACCTCATGAAGTGACAGTAGCTGACCATGAGCCTGTAAGGTTACCAAAAACATGTAAGTGTTTCAGGCTTCCTACCTTCATGCTATTAAATTTTGCATTTATTATCATAAGGAGTGGTACTGGCAACACTGCTGCTCGCTCTTTCACATAGGGGGACATTGTTGCCACTATGAGAATGGTGGCAATGTAATACAGGGTGCGGCAACTTAGCTTTTTTTTCAAGACTTAATAAAACCCATTTTACTTTGTTTTTTTATAATGTATGCGCATGCTTAAATTCTTGTTTTACATAGCTTTGAAGATCAAAATCAGATAGGTGATATCCCCTATTCTCCATACACTGAGTAAACTAGTTTGTCATGACTCTTGCCAGCATAGCAGGTATTATGTTGTCAATTTCTTCCTGGATGTTGGTCTTCAGATCTTGGGTCTTTGGACGGTTCACATAAACACGAGATTTCAGGGAAAAAACATAGAAAAAAATCACAAGGAGAAAAATCGGGAGACCTAGCCGGACACTCCAAATCGCCTTATTGAAATGAGTCGCGCTAGGAAGTGTTACCTCAAAACAACCATCGATACTCTCATTTCACCATCTTCTTGGAACCAAATGTCCTCTACCTGCAACTCATCTAGCCCTGGAAAAAATTCTGTAACATTAACCAGTCCGAATTCACTGTCTCTGAAACTTCATGTTCCTCGAAGAACCAGGGATCAATAATTCTAGCTGAAGAAATTGCACATCTCACTGTAACTTTAGGTGCATGCAAAAACCTTTGGTGCAATTTTCGAGAATTAGTGTCAGCTCAATAACACACGTTTTGTTCGTCAACGAATCCAAACAAATGAAAATGGGCTTCATCGCTAAAAAAAAAAACAATACCGTTAAGAACGAGTTCGATAAGACGCTCAGACGCGTTCTCCGAGACTTTGTCACGTTCGGGAAGTTCCTGCAAAATTTCCATCTTGTAAATATCTAAATGATCATCATCAAGAGTTCTCCTCACAGAACGATCGCAAAATCCAACGGCAGACGCATATTTGCGCGCCGAACGGCGTGGTGATCGCAACATTGAAGCTCTCACTGCCTCAATGTTTTTAGGTTCTCTAATGGCCAAGAAACTCCAGTTCACATAACAATTTATTTCTGGTCCGGGACAGGGGTCAACGGGTCTGAATTAAAGCGATTCCGAAAGGCCCGCTGCGTTGCGTTCACAGAACATCCCCTCGAAAAGTAGGCATCAACGGCAAAAGTATGCTCCTCACTGTTCCAACGCATGAAGACGACTGAACTCTCTCAGGACAAGTATTTATAACCCACCGTTGCCAACCCCATCCGAGAGAAAAACTGTATATGAGCTTGAAAAAAACTAGAATATTATTTAAACAACTGTACATCTGCAGTCTTCCATTTACAGTATTTTTGTCGGTTATTTATCGTGGACCAAGGTCAAAAAGTGACAGTTTTGCATTGCTAAAACAAATTCTTTTTGAGCGGTTGTGGTCTGGTTGGCCTTGAGCGACATAATGACAGAATTTCCATTCAATTTTCTCCAAATTCACTCTAGGCCAACCAGAACCGCTCATAAAGAATTTGCTTTTTGCATGCGTGATCAGTTCTTATTTTTTGACATTGTTCCGCGATAGATACTCGTGATTGCTTGCGAATAGCACACTTTTGACTTAACTTGCATCAAGTTCTTTTCGCAGCTGTTCTGATTCTGGTTGATCTCGACATAAAAATGAGATGAATTGAATTCTGTCATTTTCACTCACATAAGGGCAACCAGAATCAGAACCGCAGCAAAAAGAATTTGATTCAAAGTAGATTTTACGTATAATTCGATCTGGCAAGTGGGAGATTTTACCAAGACCGAGTTATTGTATGGACGTCTTCGTAGTAAAAAAATAGATAGCGCGAGCATTTTAAACGAAAAACTGAAAACTTGGAAGATTTTTGAAAAACTGCAAATGTACATCTATTTGAAATTGTTTCAAAACTATGTTAGTTTTACTCTTGTGCATCTGTACTTATTTTGCTTATTGTATATTGACAAAATTTTCTCTTTCCAGCTCATAGGACAAATATTACCTAGTATCAAATTAAAATGAGGAAAAGGAAAAAGGAGTCATAGTGAAAAATTAGATATATGAAATTAAAATTGGCATGGTATTGGTGAAATTTGATTATGTATCAAATATGCCCATGTGTTCAAATTGTTTTATTTGAAGCCTTGTTATAAAAATGTATCTTTTTTGTAAAACAATAAACTTGTTATTCAGCTAAAAATTATTTACACTTTGCATTATTTTTAACTAATATCCATGCTCATGATAGCTTTCATTCTTGGATTGGTCATAACTTCTTTAAGGAAATTTACACCCTCAAATCTAGATTCTATAGCCTCTGCAGGTGTCCAACTGTAGTCTGCCTCTAATCTGTAACTACCTAAGTAATTATGAGGACAATTTGTCCATTCCTGGAAAAATAAATAGAAGATATACATACAATCCTGGAGAAAATATTCTCTAAATTTGATGAAATTCATTATTCATGACTTGTACTCATATTTATGTATTTTTACCTCTGGAGATAGCATCCCAAAATATTTTTGCCCTGATGGTCTTTGATAAAGATGATAAACATGCCCAGGTTTCTTCACAAAATTACAGGCTGCATTATTGAGTTCACTATTCAGTTTAGTTTCATTTAAAACATCATTCATCAATTCTTGTAAATTCTTCATCTAAAAATATTACAATGAATATTGCTTCTATATTAGAGCTACTTGTTACTTACTTGTCTCCCTATAACTTCTAGTTTATTTTTTGCATTGGCTCTAGCAAATGTATCTGCCTGAAATTATTGAATATACAGTGTAATTTAAGAAAGCAATGACCTAGTGCAAAGTATGTCAAACAGAAACTTAAAAAGTGAAATGCAAAGGCTTTTGCAGCCATCATTTGGTTGGTTTTTGTAAAATATTTTTACTTGACATTTCACCAACACAAGTGGTTGGCACTTCAGAAGATCTAAAGTTTTTTGCAGTATTTTTACTAGCATAAATTCTTGTGGCTCTATAGAAATAAAACATATTTTCTATCCCATTGGTTTTTCAGACATCAATTGCATTTAAACAGCTTTCAAATTTTACATAAACTCCTTTCTTGAGAAAGTTCCTTCAGATCATTCTTTAGTCATATTCATGAGCGTCCCTAGGATTTTTTCTCAAGCACCAATCAATAACAATAAACAAATTGTTGTGAAAATGTACCTGCCTCCAGAACTTTTTGAAGAGTAGAAGTAGCAAATTTGATTAGAGGGGGATCAAACCATGGAAACCCGAACATTATACTCAAAGTCATGCTATATATGCAAATTTTTTGTCTGTCCCTGTAATGAGTTTTATCAGCAGCAAAGAAATATCCAATATCCCAATCTTGGTAAAATGGGGCTTTTTATGACCTCTTGATGATATTTTTGGATATATTTTCTCCTTTAGAAATAAAAGTATTATTTGTTCAGTCACTCTGTATTCTTGATATTGAAAAAAAATGTTCGGATTCAAAATACCTGTGCAAGTCCTTCATCTAATTCCATGACTTCTGTGTAGCCTTTCTTTGACACACGCATTGGATTTACTAATTTAACACCGCTAGGCTCAGGATTTCTTTCCACCAAAGCAACTAAAAAATTGTAAGTTTTTAATTTTCTGGCGGCTAGCAAAAAATTCTTAGGTACATTTTGTGGTTGTTCAGAAGAGTCCGGTGAAGGATCCAACGTACTACGCTTCATATTCAATGTTAATAAGAAAATATACTAGAAATTAAAAAGTACAAAGAACAAAAACTAGGCCGATATACGTATTTTCCGATTTTTTAGAAATATTTTTGTTTTTCAAATATAGGTTAACTTTTTTCACTTTGACATTTATGAGAGTTGACTTGGACGAGTCACTTGGAAATAAGGCGTGGTCATTAAGGAAACGGGGTGGGGCACACCTGGATGTAGGGCGCGGCTAGTCAACAAGGAAATGGGGTGTGGTTTCATCTTTACGTAGGACATACTCTGGGAGAGATAATCGAATGATCCAATTTCCGCTTTTAAGTAACAGATAGCACTACAATAGTTTTACATTTTTGGCCCAGAAATTTTCGAATCAAAATTATCACTCCAAATTTGTTGAATATATAATACGAGGAAGAATAAAGCAATGTAATATTAATATATGAATAGTCTTTTAGCAAAGGAGGAAAGTAATTGCTGTTTTCATAATAGAAGGTGAATAGAAGCGTGGCAGGTAAGAGCTGTCAAATGTTGTTTTTGTTTGTTGTTAGAGGTGTTTGACTTTTGCCTTTTATCACATTTGCCGAGGCTAATTAAAGACATATAGACGCGACAGGTCTATAAATTGATATCACGCGACGCGTACGTGACGAACGCGTATAGTTTTAAAATCGATAAACAAAAAACCAGTTCCAGTCGGCTTCCGACGAAAAAATTTCAATGCCCTACATTCTGGTGCGTGGAAACTTGGCTGCATATGGTCAAAGATACCCGTGGAGAGTCCTAGTGTCGGGCCTGAAGCCCGCAGACATCGAACAATTGAATAGATTCGCATCCGGAGGCTACTGCGACGATTGCACCATTGTTTACATGCAACACCCTTGCGTGATCCTGACAGCGCTGGAAGTATTGGGCTACAAAGTGGTTGCTTCATCATCTACGAGCGTCAAACAAGACTACAACGAATATATGTGGACGATGCGAAAAGAATTCTCCGAGCCTGAACCTACAGTAACAGTGTCTCCTACCACAGAAACCTTAGCAAAGAAACCTGCATCTCCAAATTCTGAAGTAGTGTAAGTATGGAGCCCGTCAAGAACGTACCAGAGTGTCTACCTGTGAATTTCACTTATGTAGCTGTGAAAGCATCACTGTATGCCTCTGATAGTTCTGTGTTTGGGTTGGATGAAGCCGAGACTAAAGCGTTGGTGAAGAAGTTCTCCAATTACCAAAAACCTGTGATAAATGGGATCCTGTTGAAAGCTGCTCCCATGGAAGTAGTGAATGCATTGAGTCAGTTGGGGTACAGGGTAGTTGCCACGACTGGAGAAGCAGAGATTGTGTGGACCATGCAAAGAGAAATATTGTAAATTGTATTTCTCATAGAAATTAGTGGTCCATTTAAAAATTTTGTATTCAATGAATATAGCCTTCTGTTTTTTTTTGTGAATGTAGCAGGAAATTTATCAGTGGATGATGCTCTAGATCTTACATTGTTTTTCACATAAAGCAGCTTTTTAAATGGGCCTCTAGCTTTATCTAACATTCTGATTTTCTTTATCTCTTTGTCTAATACATGCATAAATGTCTTCTAAACACCCAATGAACTAAAAAATGTTGGACAAATAATGAAAAAAAGCAATTCAGTTTCTCTTCTACCATGAAATCATATTTTTTGGATTTACTTACAGAGCTGAAAACATTCATAACTCGTAAGGAAGGAATTTATATGTTTTGTAAGAACATTATCTTTTCAGAAATCTTATAATAATTCTTTATTAATTTAACTGTTTCAAAATGTTGATCTCCTTCATGTAAACACTCCAGGTGCCAATCTTACATGAGTCCATATAATCACCATACAAAGAGAACATTATTGGTAAGCTGACAATTATATAGGAACTATTGGTAAATTGTCAGCAAAATCACATTGACTATTTTGTTGTATCAGTATAACAAATCTGTGTACTATTGATTTTTATTTGTAATGAAATAGTTCTGTATTGTCATGACCAGATAAAATGAAAATGTTATTTCATAATCATAATTGTTATGATAAAGTATGTCACATCATTCACTATTATAGTCAATAGTAGTAAAGCAATAATCAGCCATTTTTCATCCTATTCTATTTTATGCACTGTAGTTTCATATTTTTCTGATGAACACCTAAAAAAAACATAAGATCTGCTGCATATTAATTAGATTATTTTCAAAGATTTTATTTAATTTTAGTCATACATCTAGGTTTATTATCTAGTATTTAATTTTTCACTTCCTGTTGTTTTACAGTTTTTAGAATAAGTCACATTATTATTTTGAGTGTGGTTTTAACTATACCTGTTAAACTTAACAAACACAATGTAGAAATAGTCATATTACCTTGTTAATTGAGATACAATTGTTTTTCATTTCCTTGGGAAACATTCAACAGTGATTTTACTAATTTGAATCTTTTCTACAGTAATACATCTCAATTATCAAGTAAATAATTCTATCAAATATTCATGTGTATGCATTTTTAGCTTATATTTTATAGAAGTTGGGGAAGTGCCTTCAGTATCTCTGTTTGACTTTTGGTATTCCTAGACAACCCCAAGTCTGACAGAACTCATGGTTTACTTCTATCAGTTCTATCTTTTAGACAGTTCAGTAAAGTTTAATTTGATATCTAAATTTACCATCAGCTTCTATTTTGTAAAAGGCATTTCCTCAGTTGGTAACTTTCTTTTTGTGTGATACAATTTTATATCTATAAGAAGCATGTCTTGATGACCTCAGCTTATTTTGTTTACCCTGTAAAATACTGAATACTAAAAGACTTCTCATGAAAGCAGCATTAAACATTTATATTTTTATACCTTCAGGCTGTACTTTTATTGCAGTAATTAGGGTAAATTTTATTGATAATATTTAATCTGTGATCTTATACATTATACATTGATTAGAAGTTTGCAAAAGAGAAACAAACCCTTATTAATACATTTTGAAACTAATTGACATTTTGTAATGTTATAAAAGTAAAGTTGTAATTTAATGTCACAAAACATAACTTCCTTTGGGGGAGCTACCGTAATGCTTAAAAACCCTGATATTGTTTAATATACCTCATGGAGCATAATATGCAGTTTTATTTTTTATCTATAACTGGCCAGAATATTTGCTCATTTCTTCATGGAGTAGCAAGAATATGCAGCAATCTCTCCATATATTAACATGGCCACAAATTTTAAAAACGACTTTTCGATGATCTTGTTAGGAAAATCTGGTCGGATGCGCAGCTACTTGAAATTCTATATCAGGATTGCAGAAACGACGATATGTCGTTGCAAAGAGAATTAAAATTTCCACCTTTTGATACCTCCTCGCATTTCTGTGATCCTAGTAGCATGTGTGGAGCTACTCGAAAATCTGAATCAGGATTGGAGGAACGTCGCGAGGTATTGGCAGAGAAAATTGGATTCTCCCGCGATACAATTCCAGTATCAGGAGCACTATGCCTTTCAATAGCTTTTCGAGTTTATGGGATCCTGATAGCAAGTTTTGACTATGATTTTTCGACCATTATGTCGTCAAAATCTGGTGTGCAGGTTTCGGCTACTAGAAAATCTGTATCAGGATTGAATAAACGTCGAGACATATTGTCAGAGAAAATTGGAATCTCCTGCAATGTTATTCCAGTATTTAGCCGAATGCCTTTCAATAATTATCTCTTCGCGTTTCTGTGATCCTGATTGAAAATTTTAACCGAGATCTTATAACGATCTTTTAATGAAAATCAGGTAGGATGTGCAGGTTTCACTTACTACTCGAAAATTTGTATAAGGATTGGAGAAACGTCGAGAGGTATTGGTAGAGAAAATTGGAATCTCCCGTCATGTCATACGAGTATCAGGAGCAACATGCTTTTTCAATATCCCTTTGCGTTTCTGTGTGATACTGATAGCAAATTTTCACTACGATTTTCTCATCAAGATTGGGTCGGATGTACAGGTTTCGGCTACTCGAAAATCTTTATCAGGTTTGGAGAAACGTCGAGAGGTACTGACAGGGAAAATTTTAATCTCCCGCCAGGTTATTCCAGTATCGAGCACCGACTGCCTTTCAATATCTCTTCGCGTTTCTGTGACCCGGATAGCATATTTTCACTACGATTTTGTCATCAAAATTTGGTCGTATGTACAGGTTTCGGCTACTCGAAAATCTTTATCAGGTTTAGAGAAACGTCGAGAGGTACTGACAGGGAAAATTTTAATCTCCCGCCATGTTATTCCAGTATCGAGCACCGACTGCCTTTCAATATCCCTTCGCGTTTCTGTGACCCTGATAGCAAATCATCACTACGATTTTGCCATCAAAATTTAGTCGGATGTACAGGTTTCGGCTACACGAAAATCTTTATCAGGATTGGAGAAACGTCGAGGGGTACTGACAGGGAAAATTTGAATCTCCTGCCATGTTATTCCAGTATCGAGCATCAATATCTCTTCGCGTTTCTGCGATTCCGATAGCAAATTTCAACAAAAATCTTTTGACGATCTTTTCATGAAACTCTGAACGGATGTGCAGGTTTCAGCTACTTCAAAATCAGGATCGGGGAAACGTCGAGAGGTATTGGCAGACAAAATTGGAATCTCCCATCATGCCATTCCAGTATTAGGAGCAGAATGCCTTCAATATCTCCTCGCGTTTTCGGGATCCTAATATCAAATTTTAACTACAAGTTCTTGACGATCTTGTCGAACGTGGATGTTTCGGCTACTTGAAAATCTGTATCAAGATTGGAGAGACATCGAGAGGTGTTAGCAGACAAAATCATAAACTAACACCATTCTAGTATCAGAGCAGAAAAGCTTTCGATATTTCCTTGCGTTTCTGTGATCTTGGTAGCGAATTTTAACCACTACTTTATAACTGCCCTACTGCTTAGGATCTGCTTGGATATATAGTTTTTGTTTAACTGTGGCTTCCCTTGATTGTTTTTAGAAAGATGCATTGTGAGCATGACTGTACCTGTTGCCCAACAAATGCGAGTCAATCTCTGGATGAGATGGATTTTGAAAGGGGCATATGGTATGTAGCACAACATGGAGACATACAGAACGTGCGTAAGCATTTAAATCGTGGAGATGTTGATCAAAGGTAAAAAGTCATTTATATTTTGCTTGTTAATTTCCATATGTAGTTAGAGTTAAGTAATGGCCGATATCTTCATTCTTAACAGAAATACATGCTTTGAAATTAGAAGGGACATCATCTTCGAGAATCAAATATCAGAGTTGTTTTTTGGCCTTATTAATTCTGCGGCCCAGCTGCAAAAGCGTCTATCTGAAAGTAACCAACCATGAAGTAGTGTATTTCGGCGTTCAAAAAATTTTCAGAGATGGAATGAGATACCGTGACGTCATCTATGTCAATGTGTCAAGGCTATGTTTCTCCTCTCTGCGCAGAAATCTAGTTGAAAACGGTTAGTGTCTCATAGATGGCGCTATATGAGAATATAGTTGGCTATCTTCAGCTAGAATATTTTAATCAATGTCAATACTTGATAAATAAAAATAGTTTATTTGAAGGCATACTGGGTATACTGCGCTACACTATGCAGCTAGAAACGGTCACTTGGATGTATGCAAACTTCTCATAGACAGTGGAGCCAATATTAATGCAGTGACCAATGGTGGCGTTACTGCTTTAAGTCGAGCAGCTTCAACAGGTAATACATAAAAATTCTAATGAATGGATAACCAATTAGTAAAAACAACGTAACTTACGAGGTTGTCTTTATTCAACTAACATTGATTAACATATATATTCATCCAAGAAGATGCATTATCCTATGATATATTCGGACGTTCACATACAATTTCCATCATCACAACCATGTTACCAGGTAGAATCGTCGTAATTTCTTTAGAAGTTAAAAAATCGACCCCGCTTTCCTTTTAAAGACAAGGAAATCCTATAATTTGTGGCAATGGCCCAAGAGTTGGCAATACTGACAAGTATTTAATATATAATAAAACGTCTTTATTGGTATACAAATGTATATCACATCTTATTCCTTATACTCAACCTACTATAATAAAAATATCAGCAACTAAGGAGAATAGAATATTTCAACTTATAAACATTATGAAGCGAACACAAAAATTGTATAAATATGTATGAAAGACAAAGAAGATACTATGACATTCAACGACAATGAATGATGAAAAGCAAAATAAAAGAATATACTAAATCATTCTGTCAACGTAACGGTAACGATGTAGAAGAAGCTTTTTGGCTTGTTTTTCATACTGTTTAACGGTAGAGTTTTCAAATGTCCACTTGCATCATTGTATATTTTCAGTTATAAATAGACGACCGACCGAAAAATGTAATACCTACTGTAAAGAGGGATTTCTAGCTGATTTTTCAATCTGAAGTTGAAATTAGTCCTACTACGGCGAAATAAAAACTTTTATAAAGTTAAGAAGGGGATTGTGTAGTTAATATTTTACGAGTAAGTTTGAGCATTTAATATTTGTAAGCATCATCCAAACGTAACCAGCCGAGCTTACTAATAGAACATGAAATATGATCATATTTCTTTAAACTAAAAACAAATCTATAAGTGTTTTAAAACCCAATATATAGTATAGAGGCATTTAAGAACAGTATGACCTTTTTTCAAAATATTAGCAACATGCTCGTTGAAACGTAAATATTAGTCCTAAATCCTTTGCTTTATCCACTACTGGAAGAGCTAATCCATCAATCTGTATATTTAAGGAATTTGTATATAGTTCGACGGAGACTATTAGAACAAAACAGTATGAGATCACATTTATTTAATTTAAGAGTATTATCTTCAGGGTATACAATGTCTTCAAGATTCGTATCATTTTCACATACTGCTATCACCCAGTGTAGATTCCAGGGCTAAAAGATGTACAGTAAAAACAATATAGGGTCAAGTACTGAGCCTTGAGAAACAGCAGATGTAACAAGGGAAGAATTAGAATATTGATTTTCCAAGTGCGCAACTTACATTGTTAGATGTCACCGATTTAGGGAACATTTTAGACGTCCTGCTTTCTTGTTCTTTACATCATTGTTGTCCGGTTTACATTTGAAACCAGAAATGTTTAATCTTAAAGTGAGGATAATTGCATTTGTATTGTACTGCTGTTTTTTTTTTCATTTTATTACAACGTACCATCAAGTTACTTGATGATCCATGAAATAAATATACTTTCTGAAATGAATTTAACATTTTGCTGGAAAAAACCTATTTACATGCTGCCAAATCTGAGAACAGGAAACTTTCTAACCGAGTTAGGTGTCTTGTGGTGGAATATGTTAATCAATGCTAATACACATATTTAGGAGTAAGCTGAAAATACTGCATAAACAGTAAATTCAGTTTTGAATTGAATACTTCCAAATAGATCTTACATCCAGTGACTAAAAGATATTTTCAGGTCACAAAGAGATAGTAGAATACCTCTTAGGTAAAAATGCTGATCCATTCATCCAAGATTCTGATGGCAAAACTGCACTTCATAAAGCAGCAGAAAATGGCCACCTCCATATTTGCAGGATATTACTGTCTGTTGCTGAAAAATTAAAGGACATCGAGGATAAAAGAGGGAATAGGCCAAATATCGATGTGTTATTGCTTCAACAGTTTACTGTATAAATATTTTTCTAATAAACATATCACAAAGTTTTTTTATAAATACTTATGACTAGAATATGTAACAATACCTAATATGAGATCAATTGTTTTGATTAAATCTAAAGGTGCAATATGAAGTGTTTCGAGCGTCAAAAATGAGAGAACAGAATAATTAGTAGAAAGGTCCTATTTATTACCCGTCTGACCGCTTTTGACGTTTATCGAATAATTTTGTGGATGCGTTCATTGTCGGAAAAATAATGTGTTCCTAGGTTTATACGTAAAATCAGCTTTTTTACTGACTGTTCATATCTATCCATTTTTTGCTTCAATAATTTTCTTTAACATCACAGAAGGTCGCTACACAGAACTTATTCACATCTTTTTACAAATTTTTATAATACTATTAGGATCCATATTACACTCTACATTCACCAATCCCCACGCCAGATGGACTTTTTATTAAATGAAATACGTTAAAAAATGTTGGTGACGGGCTGCTTTACGAAATCCTGGACGGACTATTTTTGATTAAAAACTGAAAGTTATCGGCATTTGGAATTGGTTGCGGATGCCAGACTTCCATCACTCTGTATATTGTGGCCCATAAGAAATATTGACGAAGTATCTGATATTTGGTTTGACAACGCGTGACAATGAACTTAACGCGAATATCACACTATCGAGATTTACTCTAGAATGTGATTTATTGACCGTGGAAAGTGAATAAAAAAAAGTTCTGATAAATATCGGTCCAAAGCTGCTCTGCTGCCGAGATACAGGGTGATGAAGTTTAATTTAGGAAATTATGGAGCGGGTAAAGATACTGATTTAGGATTTTAGACGTTCACTAAGCACATCAACAGCAATAAACACACAGAGTTTCTTGGTATAAACTAAACCAGCGACGTAGAAACTGGGGTATCTGGACCCCTAATATTAATATTATATGTTTAAACATATTCTACACCACTGGCTTTTTCGGAAAACAGCAGTGCATTTTATAAAATACCATTTTGTTCGTATCTAACGAAATTCCTGTCAGATCACTCGTTTTGGAGATATTTAGACTTGAACATTAGAGTTAAAATCCTAAAATATTCTCATGAGAAGGTTTATCCCCCTTATTCTGAAAACTAAAGCTCGATATTGGAAACACTATAAGACATGTGAACAAAGCTATGGCAGCTCATTACAACATGATTTGAATAATATGGGTGTCTTATCCTCAATCAGTAGCATAGAAGCTTACCGTTCATGAAACCTTGTCTATGCTCACCACTGGCTTTCATAGTATACTTCTCATGGTATTAGCCATCTTAAGTTCTTTTGCTTGTCTAAAAACACATCTTGAAATTGTGGAACCAATCAATTTGAGTAAGATTCTCATTATTTACTTCTGAAATTATCGGCCTTTAAGTTGTATCAAATGTAATGTTTATTATTGTCGTGTTCAATTCTTATTAGCTTTATTTATTTATTTTTAAAATGGGCGTTTTTTTGTTGAAGTTTGTCTATAAACAAAATTGAATATGCCAGCAAAAACTAGTGGCGTGCACAGGAAAGGTTTACTGAATAGTAAGTTTATACACTCCTAACAGAGGATATTACACGGATACTATTCAGATAGTGTTGTAATTAGGTTCCATAGTTTCCTTCACATGCCGTATAGTGTTTACAACGTAAGTATTTTCAGAATATGGGGGCTAACACGTTAGGATTTTACTTCAGATGTTCAAACCAAAATATCTCCAAAACGAGTGATGACAAAAATTTATTTTCTTGACCTTTTTCTTTTTCTTTCGAAATGACCAGTGGCGTAGATGTTTCCTATTAGGGGTCCAGGTAGTCCAATTTCTATATCGCTGGTTTAAACACTAAACGTCTAAAAGTAAGTATCTTTACCCACTCCATAGATATAATTTTTTTCAATTTCGTAAATAAAACTTCATCGCCCTGTATCTCGGCAGGGAAGCATCTTTGAACCCATATTTATAGGAACTTTTTTTTGTTATTTTTGGATGTACACACTGAATAGCATATAGCAACATTCGTAGGCGGACAGGTTAGGTTTATAGGCATAGTCAACTAGTTCGAAGCAGTGAAGGCAGTTTAAAGCAGTGGGTAAAAAAGTATTTCTATGTACGGATTTTCTAAGCTGTAAAATGCATACACCACTCGTCCAAGAATATTTTACACCTAAAGCATAAACTAGGAGAGCCTTAAATACTCCTAATGTGCGCCCATGGATTGTATGGTACACAGTAAATAAAGATCGTGCGACATTCACCTTAAAACTAAAGTTCAGGTTGACCGATGTACTTTTGACTGACTTGAGGTTTAAAATATCTAAAACGATGCTACCTAACGTTATATTTTTGCAACTCACTTCAGGTTTTGACTAAATTAATAAAGGAAACGTTGGCCGTGGAACAAAAAAAACGACGCAATCACAGAAAATTACCCATCACTCTTTAATCAAAAATCGTCTGTTCAGGATTTATCAGACAACCTATTACTGACACTTTTTCAGCATATTTCACTTCATAAATACTTCTCGGGCTATTGATCGGATTCTGTACCATTAACACTTAATTACTCACATCTTTGTACAAACTACAAACAGTATCTACACTGATCTTTTTACAATATTTCCAAAGCTATATATTTCTGTATTATCGGCGGCAGTGGCAATTTCGCGAGACTTCCAAGTAGATCCCTGCAACCCAACTGCCGCCTTACGACTATCCTAGACAGTTCCTTGAGGCTGAGCGGGTTTGTCTTTACATAATGAAGGAACTCGCATTTGGCATCGATCTAAAACAGAATGATCGTCAAGGTCAGATTTAAAAAGGCACACCTACAATTACTTCCCAAGTATACCCTATTTCACGAGTATCCATCGTGCTTTGACGTCTACTGAGGTGAACAGCTGATCAGCAAGTGACATTTTTGTTAGTCTGCAACGTTGGCAATAATGAATCGGGTGTAAATCTAGTAAAACTTGTTTGCAGTGTTTTGTTTTTTGTATGCAAATGAACTTTCTTAAATAGAAGAGCTTTTAGTAAGTACAAAATAAATCTGTAGTGTACAAAAAATCGAAACAAACTATGGCTCTGTTTGCCTGGCATTGACGGATCCGTCAGAATTATGTACCCTTTGCGGATATAGGGAATTTCGGAATATTATTAGATAATTAGCTGTCATGTTACCGTAGAGGATACTCGTAAAAAAGATCGTATAAGCCATTTTCTAACAGTACCGATTTTAATGAAATTTGGATGTTAGGATACTGTGGGGTAATTGTAAGTTATGCTGCTTGATTTTTAAAAATCGAATTAGCAGTGGTCAAATTACGAGCAAAGTTTGAGATTAGGGTTGCAATATACCTATAGTGAATTGGGAATATGCATGTGATTCAAATATCGGTTATTTATTTTTAATTCCAGAATTTAAATCAATAGATTTTTTTTGAATTTCGATAGATTTAAATTAAATTATAAAATGGTGTGAAACAAGTCATCGACACAAGTAGCTGAAATAACTCATCAGAGAATTCAAAAAAAGGAAGAGTTTACAAACATTATATAAGTTTAAAAAAACAACTAATCCTCATCAGTCCAATGAAAATATTCATAAATTAGAAATTAGAAAACATAGTTTATAACAACAAAAACAGTTATATAGTTTATAATAATACTTAAATGATTAAATAATAACAAATAAAAATTATAGGTAATTATAAATGGTATTATATGTACAGCGAAAAAAACTTTACTCATGCTAACCTACAAGTAACACTAACACAAAATATGAGTTTAGGAAGTAAGTTGTTATACACGAAAATTAATTTAGCGGCTTTTTAGGTTCTCAACCGATTTTTTTGTTGTTGCTATAAATCTAGTCAACAAATATTTTTGGGCCATTAAAGAATATAATGAAACTAAGTTTTTCAAAGTTCATTATGGCCATATTTAAGAAAAAAAATCAGTATAGATTTATTAATAAAAAAACAATTTAATCGAAAAGATCAGATTTTTTGATTCTTTCGAAAACATCAGATTTTTTGATTCTTTCAAAAAGATCGTAAGTTTTTTTTGCAACACTGATTTACAGTATGTATGGCTACAGCAAGGCACCTTAAACCATATTTTGTACTTATGCGCTATAAAATTATTAGTATTGATCAACAAAAATGGGAAAAATAGGCGGAAAATTTGAAATAACGAAACGCAACTCTACTGGCGTGACGTCACCATATCGGCAAGTGAGCAGCCAATCCTTTGCTGCTGACATTGATTGTCAGCCTATCAATTTGATCGGTTCCAAAGAATATTGGTTGATGCGGAATCCGCTATTGTGGTATCTACCTATGGTGGTGTTACGCCACTTTTTTTCGTCACTGCGAAGCGCACGAGAAATGCGGCGTTCAAGGTCGCATGTTCCTTTTCTCAACTGCCTGTTTTCTATTCTAAATCCTTCATTTGTTTATTTCATAGTGTGTATAGAGATGACTTAAAAATACGTTCTCTTTTTTTGTCAAAAAAACGCATTTTTACTTTTATCTTCAATCGTAACTTGTTAAGAAATATTAGTAGAAATTGTATGTCACAATTCCGCTTTCATATTAATACTGAGCGGGTGATTAATTATATTCTAATCACTCTTCTATGCGAAAAATCTTTGATTTTCTTGAACCCCATTTTGCAGCAAATCCTTCCGTAAAAGAGGAATACTCAAATAATTGTTCTATAGTTGTACTATTATTTGTTGACAAGTTACGATTGAAGAGAGAATGCATAAATATGCAAATAATCATTTATCGGTAAAAAAGAAACTGATAACATTGTTTTTCGGTGATCTCTATAAACATGAAATAATCAGACGAAAAGTATTAAGAACACTCCTCCAGACGAGCTGTTGGAAAAAGGGACAAGTGCCCTTAACTCAACGATATTGGCATTGCATTTTTAAATATTTAATTTAAAAAAAAAAATACAGACATGTCCATGAATGAAATATGTGTTTCCGGTATGTTAACGTAAATAATGCATGCATATTCCTTATTCGCCGTTACTACATTTTATTTATTAATTCAGCGATAAAGCGAGACCATGATCCTTAGACAAATCACCGGACACCCATCTTCCATATTTTTGTGCGAGGCCCGTTTTCAAACGGATACTACTGGGGAAATTTTTCAAAAACGTGTGTGCATGCTTTTTACTATCTGCTGGACAAAACAAATACACTATTCACATTTTCTATATTATCGCCAATTACCTGCTCTTTCCGCATCTGCCAGGGGTCGCAGCGCATGTTACTGAGCTTAAACCCGGCGAAAATAATCATTTTGACAAGTTCAAGGTCAGCGTAACGCATTGCAAACGACAACGCATCAAAAATTATGCGCTCATCTTTGAGATTGACATCAGCCCCTAATTGAACCATCTTGGTGGCCACTGCCTTGTTGTCCATAACAATGGAGTAGTGTAGAGGTAAACCCTGCGGAATACATGAAAGGATGATGATTTGAAACATGGCTTAGGTATGTAACGGCCACTTGATAATAAATAAGATTATGTAAAATGACAATAGAGGTTGTCAGATCTAGAGTAAGCACTACATTGCTTATCGTGATCGACACCTGTAATTGCTTTTGGTGAGACTAGTATTGAACTGGCACATATCGTCGCCTTCCACACATATCAGTCAGTAGTCAGCATGAGTGGTGTGCGGACGTGTTCCGTGTGCACGGATAATTTTATAGTAAACAGTATACAAATTCAGTGTAAGTTATGTGAAACAATTTTCCATAATGTGTGTGTTAAAGTAAAAGATAATGTCACTAAGTGTATTGCCGATTGTATGAATTTGTTTTGGTTCTGTAATGACTGTAGTAATAATGCTATACAAAACCTAAAAATATCGAGGAGATTGGACAGTCTTGAACAAAAAACCAACGATGTGTTAGAACAAACCAAGGAGTGTTTCGGCGTCGTTAAGACATTATACGATAGAGCACCCAATGCCAGCGTGCAGAGTGGAGTGACGTAGTAAAAGCCAAACGACCGCCTTTGATAATTAAACCAAAAAATTCGTCACAGAACAGCGTGAAAACCAAGTTAGATGTGACCAACAAAGTCGATCCATCCCAAATAAATATAGCCGGAGTCAGAAATACAGCTAACGGTGGGATTCAGATAGAATGTGAAAACGACGAGTCGATGCAAAAACTACACGAGGCTGCCCGGAACGCGCTAGCAGATCGGTACGAGATTCAGATACCAGAGTTTAAAAAAACAAAAACTGTTATTGTTGGTGTTTATGATAAATACCTGAGGGAGATTGATATATTTATAAACAAATTGAAAGACATGTGTGGTACAAGTGAAATAACGTTTGTTAGGAAATATAAGCCTCGTAGGAAGGAACATTTTAATATGCTATTGGAGGTATCAAATGAGGCATTTAATTACTTTATTGCTCAAAAGAAATTACGCTTTGGATGGGATAGTTTTCTATTGTATGAATTTGTTAGCGTTTTAAGATGTTTTAAATGCTGGAAATACGGGCATATGGCAAATCTCTGCAAACAAGAGCAATTTACATGTCCACTATGCGCCGGCAATCATAAGGCAGATCAATGTACAAGCAGTAATAAACGTTGTAGCAACTGTGAATATATTAGCAATGTCTTAAAGATAAAAAATATAGAATATAATCATACTGTTTTTGATCGAAATTGTACTTCATATCTTCGGCAACGTATGTTCAAGAAATTTGTTTGTCCATAAATGTACAAGGGCCTAAGACGAAAAGTTGATGAATTGAAACAGCTGGTACTGGATAAGAATCCTCTTATATTATGTGTTAATGAAACCCATATTACAGAGGATTTTGAGGATAGCGAACTGAATATTAATGGCTATAGTCACTACATTGCCCATGCTGAAAGTTGTCATACAGGGGGAACGATAATTTATGCAAAAAACAATGTTACTTGTACAGTTGTAAAGAATGTCGTACGTCACGGTCATTTTTGGTTCTTATGCTTAAATGTTCAGCTAGGATTGGAAAATATAATTGTTGGATCACTGTATAGATCTCCGAACGGTAGCATGGACTTATTTTTCCAATTTTTTGAGGAATTACTGGAAGATGATTTAATTACAACTCATCAAAGTATTTTTTGGGAGATTTTAATATTCGCTTAGAGACCGAGAACCCAAGCCAAAAAAAAAATTAATAAACATCGTATCAGATGCAGGATTTACACAAATAGTTCAAGAGTTCACTAGAATGACAAATACGTCAGCCACCCTGATTGATTTAATTGTGACTAACAATTACTTGCTTGAAGAAATCACGGGTGATTTTCCACAAATTTCAGATAATCGAATTATAGGCTGCGTATTGGATGTGCAACATGAGGTTAAAACAGAGGAAATGAAATATAAACGAAAATTTAATAAGGAAAATATTAACACTATTATAGCTGAACTCTACGGAAAGGATTGGGACTATTCAACAACAGATGTGGACCTATTATATGAAAAGTTTATGAAAAATATTACAGAAACTGTAAATAAAGTTGTACCTCTTGAAAAAACTCAAACCCGCAAACAACCGTGGATTAATAGGTTCGTAATCCAAGCCCGAAGAGACAGGGACGAAGCTTATAAAAAGTTTAAAATAACCAAATTAAATTTAGACTGGAATCTGTATAAGAAAAAAAGGAACATTTACGCTCGTGTTATTCGAAACGAAAAGAAAAAATATTATGAAATTACTATTGACCAATGCAAGGGGGATAGCAAAAAAATGTGGCAAACTTTAAAGCAAGTTGTAGGCAGCAAAAACAAGAATGTTCTGTCATATGATAATATTGAATTTGAGGAAGATGCTGGATCTGTTCAAGAAAATTTTAACAATTTTTATGCAAAAAGCATAAATGAAATAGCCGACAAAATACCAAAAGTTGCACCGACATTTCAAGAATTGCCACAGTTAAGTGATGGTCTGTCAAGCTTCAACACTATAAGCATTGATCAACTTAGAAAAAGGGTAATGGAACTTAAAAACAAGTCAACAGCGGATGATATTTGTAATGTTAAGTTTTTGAAAACGGCTTTTTGTGTACTCGGATACCCTTTGCTTCACTTGATCAATGCATCCCTTACAACAGGAAAAGTTCCAAAAGCAATAAAAACTAGTGTTATAGTGCCTATTCCAAAAGTGTCCTCACCAAATAAACCAGCACAATACCGACCCATTAACTTGTTATCAGTGATAGACAAAATCTTGGAAACCGTGGTTTGTGCGCAGTTACGGGAGTTTCTGGAGGCAAGAAGGGATTTCGAGAAAAACACTCGTGCGAGTCGGCGCTGCAGTATGTCTGTTCGAAATGGCGTTCATACATTCATGACGGGGATATTGTGTTAAGTGTATTCATCGACCTTCAACGTGCATTTGAAACTATTGATAGGAAAAGACTGATCCAGAAATTGCAGACCTGTGGGATTACAGACAGTGCACTAAATGGTTTATGAACTACTTGAAAGACCGTTGTCATGTGACGAAGATTAATAACGTGGCGTCAAATTCAATTGATAGTGAAATTGGGTACCTCAGGGTAGTGTGTTGGGCCCGCTTTTGTTCCTACTTGACTTGACTTGAACAGGGTTTTAGTAAATACATTTCTGAGCTTATTTGCAGACGATACATTGCTTTATGCGTACGGTAAAGATTTTAGACAAGTTGTAGATACTATGAACTCAATACTGGAAATTCTGTATAACTGGTTATGTGTGAATATGCTTAAGTTGAATGTAGAAGAAACAAAATACATGGTTTTTGGGACAAAGCAGAACTGTAATACATTTTTAGAAAAGAAATTTTGTATTGAGATAGATAATATTCAAATTGAAAGTGCATCTAGTATGAAGTATTTGGGCGTAGTTTTAGATCCTCAGCTAAATTTTTCATTGCATGTTGATTATGTTAGTAAAAAAATTGGGAAAAAATAGGTTTTTTTAGGCGAATATCTGAAAGTCTTAGTCACTGGAGTCGTCTTCTTGTATATAATACCATCATATATCCACATTTTAATTATTGTTTTTCATTGTTGCTATCATGCAAAAAAACTGATATTCAAAGGCTCCAGTTACTACAAAATAAGGCTATGCGCACTATACTATTTTGTACACGTTATACGCCTATTAATTTAATGTTAAAAACCCTCGGATGGCTTTCAATATAGCAAAAGGTTGAAATGTCAAATGTCTTACTTATTTTTAAAACAAAAAATCATTTATTGCCTGAATACTTGCAGGAATATCTAATACCGAGGTCCGAGAGGCATGCATATAATATCAGGTCACGTAACACTTTTGACATAGAATTCGCTAGAACATCCCATATGCAAAAATGTCTTTTTAGTGATGGTTTGAGACTATTTAATGCATTACCTACAGAAATTAGAGAAGTGACGTCTGTAATTACATTTATTCGTAAGGTTAAGCAATTGTATCTAGATAAAATGGCATAATACAGGGTGTCCGCAAGTTGGGGTTTTCCTTTTCAGAAACAACTACCCTTGAAATAACAAAGGTAATGTGTAGTGAAACGAGGGCGACCAAGTAAAAAAAAATAAAGGAAAAAGTACTCACTCTCCAGTTGACGAGAAGGGCTAAGTACGTCTCTGCCTGAAATCGAAAGTTATTCACCCCATTACGCGTGAACGTAGATTCGTCTGTCACCAATATGCACTTCAAAAAGTCCGGATTATTGTCATGTTGATGCAACAACCACTCACGGTTGGCCGCGTGGGTCAGAGTGTCGTGCTACTGATCAGCCGGCCGGCCGGGCCGCGAGTTCGAATCTCGCCTTCGCCATGGATGTTGTGTGTTTGTTTTAGGCAGCAGCGGTGGCCGCAGTAGTAGACCCTTCGGTCTCCTGATCAGCCGCCGTGCGCTGTGCGGGTTCGAGTCCCGTCCCAGGAGAAATGTTTCTCTTGGCCATGGATGTTGTGATTGTCCGTAGGTGGTAGATGGTCTCTGACTGTCGAACGCGGAGGTACCACCCGGCGGTTCTCGTAGGCGGAGCCAGAATGTGTGCATGTTGCATGCACACGTGTTCCCTAGCCAGAGTCCGTGTGGCGTCCCCCCTTTCCCATGTATCCCCCATAGCCCCACGGTACCCAATGGGTGCTTAGGCCTTAGGCCTTCGTGGTAGTTGGAGTATAAAAAAAAAAAAAAAAACAAAACCGCACTCTTGCTGGAAAATCGTCAGGTTCAAGGGTTTGTAAACGTTGGACGTTTGCCACACTTTAGTTTTTGATACTTGCACGTCTCTAGTGCTTGTTGAGGGATTCTTGTCTACGCGATTCAGTAGTTCTTCCTCAACTTGCACCATTCGTGGTTGTCTAGGCCTCCCACTGTGCCCACCTCGAAATTCCTCCAAATGGCCCGTATCCCTGACTCTCTGGACCAGGTACACAAATC